TTACGTATCCTGGGTGCAGGCGCGACTTGCTGACCACTTGGGGCAAGTTTCGATCTCGCGTTTCTGGTAGCTTTCCCAAGTCTCGCAGCTCTTTCAAACTCGTTATCGCCTGCCAAGAATCTTCGTCTGTCGAAGGGTTTGGGTGGTGCAAGTACGCGCACATCGTAAGGTTCGTCCGCGTTGTCGCTTGCACGTTGACGCTGTTCTGTTCTGTAATTCGCCACTTCGCTCTCGAATCGCCAGTGCTCCACCCCGTGCTCGTCGACCTGCTCAAGGAAGACCTGGTAATCGAAATAGTCGTGCCAACTTATTAGGTGCATCTTAAGATCGTCAATGTCAGTGGTTTTTCGCTTCGAGCAATGCGGGCACATCAGCTCTGATCGTTCAAGGGTATCATTCCCGTACACAAATGTGAGTTTGTAGCGGGGTTCCATGTCGAGAGGCGGTGTAGGATATGAGCTGGGAGGCTGCATAGAGTCTTTCAGGTGACGATTGTAGCTTGTCAAGACCGAGTCTCTTTTGAGCGGGATCCAATGCATACTGACTTCTAGCCCGATACCGAGCTGTTTCCCAGCTGCTTTCAGTGGTAAGGTTATCCTTCCCTGTGGCACATCGAAGATGTTCCTATAAGACGCGGAAAGACGCGCTGATGCATCCGAGATTTTGACGCCCATGAAATCGTATAGGTCCTTGACGTTGTCGTGGGTCTCGAAATTGATACTCAGCATGATCATGTGAATGTCGTTATCATCAATTTTGGTGGGATCAGTGTACCAACTCTCGCGATCAATGACAATGGGCTCCACTTCGATTGAAGCTTCCTTTTCCGATCTATCGAATCCTCGCAGTGTTGCCTCCTGGTCTGGAGGATTCTTGCAGGTGGGCATGGTCGACGATGAAACGATTGACGTTTTGATGGAGGTCGTTAAGCGTAAGATATTCCGCACTTTCCGCGCTGGATCATTCGATCGACCATTTTGAGAAGATTCTGGGGCGTTCAGCGGCCGGATACTGTGCACCTCAAGAACGAAGGATCCCCCAGATTTTTCTGCTGAGATCATATCGTCTAGTAGATCCCAGGATGGAGGTTGCCACTGGGAGCGAAAGCGGGGTCCTGTCTGTGAGTATTGATCCTCGCTTTGGCTATGCGAGTGGCCCTGCTGCACTTGTTTTCGATTTCGCTCCAGGAACGGTAATCTCTTCGTCTTGTACAGGTAGTCGTAGAAGATGATGTTGCCGAAAAACCTGTCTCGCCGTTCTAGCATGCTCTGCCAGTGCACATGCATGTTAGAGAATGTCTCATTCGTTGAGAAACTATGATTCTTACAGAATTGAGTGGGTGCTCAGTTGCATCCTACAGCAACCGAGAATGTGTGGTGAGAGCGCACATCTGGCGGGAGCAGGTGAGAGAAAATGGGGTTTGCTGCGGTCCTGCGCGGCTGTTCAGAGCGGCGTTGCAGATGGAGATTGGGCGCGGAAGTGAAGATCGCGAGAAAGCAGGGTTGTTGTTGTTTCTAGCGGTCTGACGCCCCTGGCATGCGTGCGTCTCTCCCGCGATATAACCAGACGCGCAACAATTACGCCAATTGTTCTTTTTGCTTTGGAATTGGCCGACAAAGAGTTGAATGTCTTGTGTTGACGGGGTTCGTGTTTGTTGTTTCGCAGAGGTTTGTGGCGCGCGACGGCTACCAGGGACGACGCGATAGCGCACAAGCAGACAGCGCTCAGCCGGCGAGATGCTGAATCGCAACTATCTGCGAGCCTTACGGTGCAGCAATGCGAACACGACGGACACCCCACACTCCTGACGGGTGTGTGCAGGCAAAGGTGTGTTGTGGCATGTGTCACGTGCACGGGCGACAGGGCTAAGCCGCATCGGCTAGCGGATCCCGGATGATCTCATTGATGGCCTCTTACCTCCGAAGGCCGCATGCATCGACATTTCACTATCGCTACACTCACTCTCAGTCTTCCCACTTCTGACTCACACTTTGGACTGCTCCATGCACCTCCGCGACTGCGTCCGAGGGCTTAGGAGCCCCTTATAGACAGGACTCTCGGCCAATCAGTCTGCGAGCTGGCCCCCCATAGTCACTGGACCCTACCTTGTGCGACATGGCTGTCACACTGAAGCGCAAACGCGGCGCAGTCTCGTATAAAGAGCCGAGCAGCGACGAAGATCTCTCCGAAGGCTCCGGCTATGAGCAGACGACCAGAAAGCGCACTGTCCCAACTCGACGATCAACTCGCCGCCCCCCAGCCGACGATGAAGCCGCCAGCGAAAGCGATCACTCTCCGCCAGAACCTGCCCCTATCAGGCAGCAACGCGGTTCACGCAGCTCACGGATTCGAGGTGCCCCACGGATATCATACAAAGATGTCAGCTCAGACGAGGAAGACGAAGAGGACCCCGATGCCGACTTCGAGCTGGAGGATGAGCGCGTCATGACAGTGAGGACAAGGTCGCGTCCCGTTGCAGCGCCATCACCCCGACCAGAGAAGACAGGAGGCGCCAAAAGGAGTAGATCGCGGCGGAAAGCTGTCATAGGCGCACCGCTGAAGCCAAATAAGGAGGCTCAAGTCGAGCGCAAGACGACTATCTCCTCTGATGGACACAAGCCGGTATGTCTTCTGTACCTGATAGATCGATCAATGCTAATCCTCATATTCAGGCCTGGGCTTCCCTGCCATATCACGTACTCCTCCAGATCTTCGTGTACGCCTCCCATCCGCTCCACGACGAGAACATGAAGCCTACCGCAGCGATACCTTGGCTAGTACAAATGGCCAGGATGTGCTCGACCTTTACGAAGCCGGCTCTGACGGCTCTGTATCGTAACCCGCCCATATTCGCCATCAGACAGACGCGCAAAGACCTCGTTCACCATCTGATCACACCTCCACCAGGCGCTCACGACGACTATCGGGTCATGGTAAAAAGGTTGGAGCTGGATGCTACACAGATGACTGCTTTGACGGATCACGCGAATAGCGTTGCCGACCTTGCGGCCCTGGTTCGGTCACTGACGACACTGCGGGAGATTGACATCTTTGATCCTATGGATCGCCCACCCTTTCGCCCGCGGCTTAGGCGACTTCGGCGCTGGGTATATCCTGCCGAGCTCTTTGATGCACTTCGCCAGACTAGCCTCCGCTTGAGAAGTTGGCGATGGAACAGCACGTTCTGTAGTCAAGGACCTCTATGGATGAAGACGATCCACGAAGGAACAGCATTTCAAAGCCTCCGCGATGTGTCTCTCGTCAAATTCCACCCCGAAGTTGTTCGCGAGGATCCAGAAGAGGACGACGGTCGACCGACAGTGGAAGAGCTGCTGGCATCTGCGTTGGCCGTGCTCCCTAATCTACGAAGTCTATCCTTCGAGACTTGTGGTGTTGTCAGCGGGCGTCTCCTCCCATTACTGCCCACTGATCTCACCAGCCTCAGCATCATCAATTGCGGCGAGCTACTCTCTGATGCATTCCAAGCTTTTCTGGCAACACATGGCTCTCACCTCGAGGAGCTGACCCTCAATCACAATCAGGCTCTCGACATGTCATTTCTAGTCGGTTTGAAGCGTTCTTGCCCTAAGCTCGAGGTCCTCAGAATGGACGCTACCTACTACAGCTCCCTTGTCATGTCCTCGGATAACGAGCCTCTCTACGAGACCCTTCTTGGCGAGAACGAAATGCCCACCTGGCCAACATCACTCCGTACCCTTGACTGCCAGTACTTGCGGAACTGGAATTCGAAGTCTGCGGACAACTTCTTCAGTTCGCTTATAAACTCTGCTGAAGAATTGCCCCGGCTTCAGGAGATCACTATCATCGCAATGGTGGATACCGACTGGCGGCAGAGAGCCGAGTTCAGACAGAAGTGGACTGCCAAGTTCAGAAAGGTCTTTGCCAGGAAGTGGGAAACACCTGATCCCAGTCTTGCGTCTCTCAGAGCCTTTAGAGAATGGAAGGCTCGCGGCGACGACGGGGACAAGGTGGACTCTTTCATTGAAGGCGTCTCTGAAGAAATGGCAGAGAAGGCTCACCCAGTCATGGTAGACGACGCCGATGGTAGCGAAAGTGACGTCCCTCTGGTACCGTCACGCGTGCAGAAGCAGGATGAAGGCTGGGGTTCGAAGCGTCTTCGTTCTCGCTCAAAAGCAGGTCTAAGCTACGATGAGGAGTCCAACGAAGACGCTGCCTCGGAGGAAGAGGCGGCTTCAGATGAAGAAGAGCCTTTTGTACAAGGTCGATGCCACACCGTCATTTTCCGCATCGACAACTTCCGACCACGCGAGGAAATCTTCAACGAAGCCGACTTCCTTGACGCAGAGCCCAGTGGGGATGAGGAGTGGAACGGCAACGATAACGAAAATGACGATGGAGGCGGGTATGCGTGGTGATCCACTTTCATTAAGGAGTAATCTTGGGTGTTTGGGTTTCAGGTGCGGGTATGACGTCTTGTACAGATATGACAGGCGTCGGGCTTTGGGGTTCATGCTCGGATCAAGACAGGAACTATGCATTAGGGAGGCGTTTATGTGGTTGGTTATTGAGATATCCGTGTGTTAGTATTGGGTTGCATCGGGCGCAACGGTCGGGCTCTGGGAACCGTTTGGCAGCTGTCTCAGCCACATGTAGAAGCCAGCCATGCCAAGCGATCATCGGGTTTGCCGTGTGAATGTGATTAGCTTGTTTGTGATAGCAGCGATGCAAGGCAGCTGAAGAAACACATTCGCGCGCAAGACATGCGTCACTCGAGTGACTGCGCAAGTGCACAGCCTCGCAGAGCGTCCCAGCATCCTGGCCAATCCCCACCATGACCGCTAACAAGGACCACCCGCCCATTGCTGCTCGCACTCCTGTCATATAACCGCTGGCTGCGATGTGTTGATATTTCCGGCTGCCTCTCTTCCTATACTGAATCTCTCTTATATTCTTCCTCCTCCCTTCCTCTCGCATCCCCCCTTTGTACCCCGCCATCCCCTGCTCTCCACACCAACGACATGGCGGTACCCACACCTCCCATCCCGCCTGTCTCGCCAGACTCGGGCCCTACCGACCCTACGCTTCCCAAGCTGCCCGCTGGATGGATAGCGCAGTGGGATAACTCGTACGTCTCTCTCCCAAGCATAACAGAAGACACGCTGGCTGCCCCGCCTTCGCACCGCATGCCCCGCGACACGAAACTGACATAGACCACAGATCCCGAAAGTATTACTGTACGTAGCCTTGGCCGCATCATCGCGCGATTTATCTCCCCAACGACGCCTCGACCCGCGAACGAAGCAAAACATACTGACACCACGGCGATAGATGTCCAGATCAGCACCGGCGTCTCGCAATGGGAACTGCCCACGAGCGAAGCGCCCGTCGGCGGCTCCTCGTCCCACAGCACACCCGCGCAACAGACGAACCCATACAACGTCCCCGGCACCTCAGGCCCCGATGCAGGCGACGGACAAAGAGGCATGGGCGACGGCCCGACTGGCGACAGGGCAGGTGGATTGGGTGTACGCGACATGCTACTTGGGCATCAATCGGGCGCTGGCTGACAATGGAGATAGGGCTTTGCGATGAACGCGCTCATGGGCAACAAGCAGAGTAATAGTGGACATGGCGGCGGTGGCTCGGGAAACCTCGTTGGTCAGCTCGCTGGATCTTTCCTCGGAGGTGGGAAACAACATGGTGGTTCTTCTGGGGGCCACTCTGGTGGTGGTGGTGCGGGTCAGCTTGTTGGACAGCTGGCTAGTGGCCTGCTAGGTGGTGGGAAGCAGCATGGAAGTTCTGGAGGTCAACATGGCGGCAGCGCTGGCCACGCATCGAGCGGTGGTGGTGGTCTTGGAGGCATGCTTGGAAGCGTGCTGGGTGGAGGATCATCGGTATGGACATGAGCCTCGACTCAAAGAAACGCGCTGACAACATCTAGCACAACAAGCCCAACAATGGCGACTACGGCTACTCCGGTGCCTCGTCAGGCGGCACCTACACCGGCACCGCACCGCCAACGTCCTACAACCCCAGCGCCCAAGGCGGCCAATACGGCGGCGGCGCTCCAAGCCACGGTTACTCATCTCCCGGTCCTGGCCAACAATACGGTCAGGGTCAAGCCCACGGAGGCTACGGCGGACAACACTCTCCGCCCCAACAGCAGCAACACGGCCAGCACCAACCCTACGGCTCGCAAGCTGGATTCGGTGGACAGTCAGGATACGGTGGACCAGCACCAGGCTACGGTCAAGGACCACCGGCAGGCGGCCCACCAGGCGGCTACGGACAACAAGGTATGGACAATGTATCCGCGAAAGGGAAAGACATGTGAGAACTAACATTCATCTAGCTGGCTACGGAGGTCCCGCATACGGTGCACCAACTGGTCCCTACGGCGGCGCCGCAAACTACGATAACCACCAGCACAACCAGTACGGCGGTGCTCCCACGCACGCTAACCAATACGGAGGCGGCCAACAGTATCCTCCTCCACCCGGTGGCCATCAGGCTGGATACGGAGGCCCGCCGAGTCACCACACTCCCCAGCCGGGTTGGCAGTAAATGTATCGCACTCGATCGGCCGAATTGTTGCGCGGTACGCGGATAAAGGATACATGGTCTTGGGTAGATTGCGGTATAGCGGTATGGCGATGAGCGGGGAACGGACGATGTTCAGTGTTTTGAACATCGTGTCTTGGTCTTGCTAGAGATACCTTTCTGAACTGTGTAGATTGAATAATCTTTGTTCTCTTCCTCGGTTCTGCCTTGTGTTGTCCCGGTGATCTGGCACGGCAGTTTCTAAAGTCCTTTGGTATCGGGACTTATCTGGATGGGTAGGTCTGGTCGTAATCTCGATATTGATCGTGGCCTGATTCTTCCTACGTCGTGTTCCCTCGCTTGCCTGACAGCTGTGTAGTCCGAGGGCCGGTGACTGCGCGTCTCGGGGTCATGTCGTGGATTGGCGATCCGACATGTCTCTCTTCTCGACCGCGCTGTCTGCCCTCTTCCCCCTAGCCATGCGCACATCTTTCCACACAGCCGTCGCCGCGTACCACCATGCCCATTCAACTCGTATACACCATCATCCTCATACACCCCTCACCCAAACAACTCCCCCCCATCCCCACTCCCACTCCCCCCCAAACACCCCAACACCCCCCCTTCCGCCACAATCCTCCACGCCACACCCACCCTCCCTGCTCCTTGTCCCACCCCTTGTTCAACCCCAGGCACCTCATCCCCCTCACAACTCCCCACCCACCCACTCAAACTCGCCCGGAACCCACGCGCGTCCTGCCGCGGAATCCGCACCCACACTTCGCGACCATGTATCTTGAGCAGGTCGATGGGGATCGCGGTGCCGGTGGTACCGAGGTAGGCGCGTAGGGGGGCGGTGAGGAGGGTGGTGGTTAGGAGGGGGGAGAGGGAGGGTGTGGGTGTGGGAGATGTGATTGGGTTTGTAGAGGAGGGAGAGGGAGAGGTGGTGGAGGTGGGAGGTAACGAAGCGGTTCCTGGTGTGAGGAGGATGAGGTGGAAGTAACTCCAGTCGGTTTTTCGAAATGTGGCCTGGTGGAGGATGTGGGTTTGTTTTTCGGTGGGCTTGTCTTTGCGTTTGCGTTTTTTGGTGGTTGGTGTGTTTGGGGTGGGAGGTGCGGAGGGTATGCTCGTGTCTGCGTCGTTGGGGATGGGCGCGTTTGTAGATATTGAAGCGTTCGATTCGGCGATCGCGGTGGAATTAGGCGCTGCCTGGGTAGCTATTGGCACCATATTGAGGGCGTGTGAGCGTGCGCGCGTCTTAGGGTTCTGTATCGCAGTGTTGGAGCTCCCGAGGTATCTTGACGCGAAACTTTTGGCGGGCTTAACTAGCGCGTTTTCTTACCTCCGGCTCTTGCGCATGTCCGTTGGAAAGCGTTTTGATCTCAACAAGCTGTAAAACAGGCACATCTCGAGAGCACTTCTCTTGTAGAATTGGTGAGATGAGATACCGTGTGTACGTGTGTGGGTTGCAAGGGGTATACCTTGGATAAGGGGGGCCCTTCCCGTGGCTTGAGGTCATTCCGTTCCAAGGTTGGACAAGATATGTACCAAGGGATGGCCCTGGCGCACAATATCACATATAAAGCATGGGAATGTGCTGCGTTCTTGCTCAGTCGTATTAACTGCGCTGCGCATGTTTTTTTTTACACAGTACACGACGTGGTGAGTGATACCTCATCAGACCGGAAAACAACAACGAAGTATGGAAGGAGATCATTTGCAGCATCGGCACAACAATCTTTAAACCTTTCCGCATTTTATCGTACACTCGCATTACCAGTACAAACGCCAAATCCTCTCCTTTTCCACGTCCACGGCCGCCTCTCTCCATCCATCCACACCATCCACACATCCGATCAGTTTCACGACCTAACATCAAACCCCCATATCCACAGAATGCCTAGATAACTAGGACTTTTACACAATCGAAACGCCCAACTTCAGTGGGACTTACATACATAAACACAGTAATTGCGCTTCGCTCAGAATGAGAATCTTCGAAAAGCACTTCATCAAACTCGCAAATACGCAATGAGTAGACACAAAGAAATGAGCCGCCACAGGCTATAGGGGGGGTATCATGCATGAAAATGCTCACAGTATCCGCCGGTAAAAAACGCCAGGTCGATGCGCACTTTTTGTTCGGGCCGGGGGTGGTAACACAGTAGTAAAAGGGTTGACAAGGGCCCAGGGGCCAGAAAAGAATGTTGTCGGACTTTGTGTACGTTGGTTGAGCGATAAGGGGGCAGTTTACTGCTTGCTCTTGCCCTTTCCTTTGGAGTTGCTGGGTTCGCCGTTGGTTGAGGGCTGGCCATGGCTGGGAAGATAGTAGTCCCATTCCAGCTTCAGTGGTGCGACTGGAAGGTTCTGGTTGAGGCTCTCGACGACTTGCTGGAGTTGCGAGAGGACTACGAAAGCTGTACCGATCAAGCCGAAGAACTCGCTGTTGGGCTCAATGTACGTCTTGACCGTGTTGTCGTACGCTTCTCGCAACTCGGCGGCCGCCGTGTTGATGTCGGCGAGCTGGTCATAGATCCCTTGCTTTGCGGTGTCATGGTCACTTGAGACTCGTTTCACCTCGTTGTTGTACTTCGCTGTATCCTGCCGTAGAGCTGTGATCTTGCCCTCAACCATGCCGAAAGATGATTTCAAGTTCTCCTCGAATTCTGTACGTGCTTTCTTCTCAGAGGCAAGCTTGCCCACCACGACACGCTTGAAGTTATCGAAGGGGACATTGTCTGGGGTAGGCGCTCGAGCAGGTGTCTGAGCCAGCTCCTTGATGGACTTTTGGAGATTGCCCTCCGTGGTGTCGCGCTTGCTGCAATCTGTGTCGAATGCTGAACGCAGGTTTTGAATGGCCTCGGAGTTTGCCGTTTGAGTGTCGCTGATCTCGGATTGGAAGGCTCGCAGTGTACCCTCCAATGCAGTCACTACGTCAGCTTTTGCGAAAGTGGCCCTGTCCACATCCATCGCTTGCTTCAGGTCTTGAATAGACTTCCTGATCTTGCCCACATCGATCGCTTGCCTCAGGTCTTGGATGGACTTTCTGATCTTAGTCTGCTCGTCAACGCGTGTGGTACGTTCAGCGTCGATGGTAGTGCGAAGCTCTCCTGTGCTGGTCAAGCGTTCTTGCTTTTCTTGACCTATTTGGGTCTGCAGTGTCTTGACAGTTGCCTGCAGGGCGTCAAGAGCCTCCGCTTTGACGAAGGGAGATGTGGCCGAGTGCAAATTCCGCAAAGAAATTTGTAATCCAGACACTGAGCCCTTGATGTTCTCGATCGTCTTGATCTGCTCATTAAGCTGTTGCTCAATCTGGTCGGCCCTATCACTCGCGATTTTTGCGTCAGAGCTGGCTTGATCGGCCTTGTCGCTCGCGGTTTGTGCATCAGAGCTGGCTTGCTCGGCCTTGCTAGCTGCACGCATAACCTCCTCAGCCTTGTCGCTCGCGGTTCTTGCATCAGAACTGGCTTGCTCGGCCTTGCTAGCTGCACGCATGGCCTCCTCAGCCTTGTCGCTCGCGGCTCTTGCATCAGAGCTGGCTTGCTCGGCCTTGTCGCTCGCGGTTTGTGCATCAGAGCTGGCTTGCTCAGCCTTACTAGCTGCACGCATTGCCTCCTCAGCCTTGGAGATTGCCAGGGTGGCATCAGAGCTAGCTTGATCAATTTTGGTCAACGCACTCGACATGTCGCCATGAGCCTGCATAGCGGACTGGAGTTGAGCAGCGTCGGTGACCACTTGTTTCAATTGCGGACTGATGTTTGCAATCTCGTGCAAGTGCGGAGCGATGTTCACAAGACCATGCAGTTGAGTAGCGTCTTGGTCCAGGCGGTCGAGAACGTTCGCGCGATTCGCTATCCAGTTCTGCACTCGGTGGATGTCTTCCTGGAGTCGTGGCAGACCGGGGTACATTTCGGTAAACCAGCGGACCATGCCCTGATACATGGTGTCGGTGCTGATATTCTCGTATCGGCTCTCTATGTTGCGTATTGCGGAGGTGAAAGTATCCAGGTCTTTCTCCACCGATGCAGAGTCGGCCTTGGTCGACAGAGACGATCGCAGAGTCGCAAAGTCCGTCTTCAATGACGCTACTTCTGCCAACATGGTATTGAGCTGAGCTTGTTGGGCTTGGCCGAAGCCATTCTGTTGTGTAGGCGACTTCGATACTTGTTCCATCAAAGCTGATAGATTGCGGGCATGGGTTTCCATTGTGGCAGTGACGGTATTGAGCTGCTCTTCAATTTTGCGCTTGAGTGGGTCGAATTGTTCGTTGAAGAGGGTGGGGGCGACGTCCTGTACAGCCGAGATAGTGGCATTTGCAGTCTCGAGTTTCTCGAACAGCGTTTCAATATCCTCTGTGATGGTGTTGAGATCGCTCATCTCGGACGGCGCTGTTCTCGCATCAGCTGACGACGCCGCGAAATCGGGTTCACGTGATCGATTGCGGAGAGCTTGCATCGCTTCCATACGAGTTTCCGTTAGTTTGCGAAGATCCGAAATCTCTTGGGAGAGGCGGGTGTTCACTTCCTCGACATCCCTGTCGATAGCCTTGCGCTCGCTCGTTATCAGAGCTTTGACCTTCTTTTCTGCTGCCTTTTCCAGCGTCTTGACTGAGGTCTTGTCCATGGTCGTCTCTATTGTCTCCACACTCTGCTCCACACTGTCGAGTGGTCGAGCGCTGGCCAGAGTGGCTTCCATGCTGTTCAGACGCTCGAAGATTGCCTGAGCCTGGGTCGTCAAGCCACCGGTGCCTTCCACAACTTTGCGAAGCTCTTGCAGCGATTTCTTGAGATTCGAGACCTCTGTATCTGCATTGGTCACAGGCGGAGTGATTGGAGCAGGAGAATAAGTCGCAACAGTTGTCCCGACCTTCTTAAAGTGAGGACCCCGTGGAGCTTTTTCCAGTTCATCGACGCGACCCAGAAGCTTCTCTGACAGACGTGCAGATTTATCCAGCTCACTGAGGCGAGCGGGGAGCCTTCCCAACTCGGCTTGGGTTACAGTGCCCTGCAGGTTCGCGATCCTTT